GCAGTGGAGGATGGCCCAGGTGCTTGGGCCCTGCACCCCATGGGAGACCAGGAAAAGCACCTGGCTCCTGGCTCCTGCCATCGGATCAGCGCGGTGCGCCGGCCGCAGCGCGCCGGCCGCGGCGGCCATTGGAGGGTGAACCAACGGCAAAAAGGAAGACCTTTCTCTCTGTCTCTCTCTCTCTCACTGTCCACTCTGCCTGTCCAAATAAATAAATAAATAAATAAAACAAATCTCTTGTGAAGTGCAGAAGGTTCTCAGTTTGATGTAATCCCATTTGTTTATTTTTGCTTTCACTGCCTGTACTTCTGGGGTCTTTTTCAAGAAATCTTTGCCTATGCCAGTGTCTTGCAGAGTTTGTCCAATCTTCTCCCTTAGAAATTTGATGGTAGCAGTTCATTGATTTAGATCCTTTATCTGTTTTGAGTTGATTTTTGTATAGGTGTTTGGTAGGAGTCTTGTTTTATACTTCTGTATGTGGCGACCCAGTTTTCCTAGCACCATTTGTTGAAGAGACTGTCCTTTATCCAGAGATTGATTTTAGTTAATTTGTGAAAGATTAATTGGCTGTAGATGCATTGATTGATTTCTGGAGTTTCTATTCCATTCCACTGGTCTTTTTTTAAAGGTTTATTTATTTATTTGAAAGTCAGAGTTACACAGAGAGAGGAGAGGCAGAGAGAGAGAGAGAGAGAGGTCTTCCGTCTGATGGTTCACTTCCCCAGATGGCTGCAATGGCCGGAGCTGTGTCAATCGAAGGCAGAAGCCAGGAGCTTCTTCTGGGTCTCCCATGTGGGTGCAAGGGCCCAAGGACTTGGGCCATCTTATACTGCTTTCCCAGGCCATAGCAGAGAGCTGGATTGGAAGAGGAGCAGCCGGGACTAGAACCGGCACTCATATGGGATGCTGGCGCTTCAGGCCAGGGCGTTAACCCATTGCGCCACAGCGCTGGCCCCTACACATCTATTTTTGTGCCATGCCTATTTTGATTATAAGTGCCATGTAGTGTGTCTTGAAATCTGGTAGTGTGATGCCTCTAGCTCTTTTGATTGCTTGTTTGAGAATGCTATTCAGTATCTCTTGTGATTCCATATGAATTTTAGTATTGTTTTTTGTAGATATGTGAAGAATGTCTTTGGGAGTTTGATTGGGATCACATTGAATCTGAAAAATTGCTCTCAGCAATATGTACATTTTGATGATATTAATTCTTCCAATCCATGAACATAGAAGGTTTTTTTTTCCATTTTTATGTGTGTCCTCTATTTTTTTTTCTCTAATGGTTTGTGATAATTTCATGCAGGTCTTTCATATCTTTGGTTAAATTTATTCAAAGGTATTTAAATTTTTTTGTAGATCTTGTGAATGGGACTGACCTTGCAAGTACTTTCTCAGACATAGCATTGTCTGTATATACACAGGTTATTAACTTTGTGTGTTAATTTCATATCCAGAAACTTTATCAAATGATTTTATGAGTTCAAATAGTCTGTTAGTGAGGTTTTTTGGTTCCTCTCTATGTAGAATCATGTCATCTGCAAACAGGAAATAATTTGACTTCTGCCTTTCCAATTTGTATCCCTTTGATTTCTTTTTCTTGCCTAATGGTTCTGGCTAATACGTTCAGGACCATATTGAATAGCAGTTGTGAAAGTGGGCATTCTTGTCTGGGTCAGGATGTTTGTAAAAATGCTTCTGTTGTTTGCCAATTAAATAAGATGCTGGCTGTGGAGTTGTCTTATGTTGCGATGATTCTGTTGAGGCATGTACCTTCTATACTCGATTTGCTTAAGGGTTTTTTCATGAAAGGATGTTGTAGTTTATAAAATGATTTCTCTGCATCTGCAGAGATAATAATATAGTTTTAATTCTTCAGTTGGTTAATGTGATGTATCACATTTATTGATTTGGGTGTTTTGAACCATCCTTGCATCCTTGCATCCCACTTGGTCTGAGTAAATGATCTTTCTGTTGTTTTGTTGGATTTGATAAGCTAGTATTTTGTTGAGGATTTTTTTTTCTGTGCAAAATATTGGTCTATAGTTCTCTTTCTTTGTTGTACCCTTTTCTGGTTTTCAAGTAAGTTCATGATGGCCTAATGGAAGGAGTTTGGGATATTCTCTCATTTATTTGTTTTGAATAGCTTGAGAAGAAGTAGAATTAGTTCTTCTATAAACATCTAGTAGAATTTTACAGTGAAGGCTTCTGGCTCTGGGATTTGCTTTGTTGGGAAGATCTTTATTACTTATTAGATCTCTGTCTTGGTTATGGGTCTTTTTAGGTTTTCTATGTTCATTACTCAGTTATGGTATATTATATGTGAAGAGGAATCTATCCATTTCTTCTGGACTTTCCACATTGTTGACATATAGCTATTTGTAATAATTCCTGATGATTATTTTTATTTCTGTGGTATCCATTGTTACATCTCCTTGTAATTTTTTTTTTTTTAATTTTGGTGGTCTTCTCTCTCTTTTTCTTTTTGCTTTTTTTTTTTTTTTTGGTTTGCTGGTCCAATGGTGTTTCAATTTTATTTAATTTTTCAAAAAGCTAGCTCTTCATTTCACTTACCTTTTGTGTATTTTTGTTTTTATTTTTAATTTCATTTAATCTCTAATTTGGTTATTTTTTCCTCCTAGTAATTTGGGGTTTGGTTTGTTGTTTTTTCTAGGTCCTTGGGATGCATCAGTAGCATATTTATTTGATATATTTCCAATTTCTTGATGGAGTTACCAATTGCTATAAACTTCCCTCTTAACACTGCTTTTGCTGAGTCCTTTAATTTTGATAGGCTGTATTGTCATGTCCTACCTTCGGTCAGTGCTCCAGGCTGGACTGGACCCAAAGACAGTTTGGTCCACAAGGCTCTCCCTCCGGCAGTATCACCAGTGGCACAGGCTGCTCTAGTCTTTTCTCACCTCCCCCTCCAGTGCTGGCTTATTCTCCAGCTCTTGGCTGTGGGGATTGTTTTTGGGTCTGTACTCATTGCTGCACATCTGTACCTTCTGTTCTGATCTGTGGTGTCCCTCTTCTTTCTGTAGAATTTCTACTGCAGATTCCTCTCCTACTCTCCCCATGGAATGTACTTCATCTACTTTTTTTTTTTTTTTTTTTTTGGCCACTTTCTCTTGTGTAGAACAGTACATCTTTCCCCTATTCAGCCATCTTGGAATCTTCCCCAGATTCAAATGATGATAATGATAATGATAATGATAAATGCCAATGCATACAAGTACTTACTTTGAGCCACTTACCATTTGAAGTGCTTTAGACATATTAACTCTATGTAAGCCATAGCCCCACGACAGTCAATATCAGCCTCACATCGTCACATTGTACACTTAAAGTGAAAAGCACACAGAAAGCTTAGATAAATAATTCATGTCCATATATTATTTTATAAATAATTTCTTCCTGGAATTAAAATTTGTATAAATAACTCTAGAAATGTGTGAGTGGGGGTTTGTTTGAAAGTTTGTTTTTGCTGTAGAAGTTAACATAATGGCATTCTTCTTGGTATCAAATCACCTTGCCTTCATTATATGTATTATGAGAACTATGAAAGCTAAAGTGCAAACTATTCTGTATCACTGCAGTGTTTCTTGTTAGATTATGTAGCATCGCATTTAAAAATTAAGTTAGGGTTACTATTTTGCTGAGTTATATTGCTTTCAGTATGCATGTAGTCTATTAGGTATGTGACATTTTCCTTTAAAGACCTCCTTTAACAAATAAGAAATATTTTAAAAAGTTTAAGAAAATTGAAAAAATAGTGATTAATGTATAAATATACTTAAAATATACTTAAAAATAATGATCCAGTCAACTTAGAGAAGAACTTATAATAATGGAATAGGCCTTTTCTTTCAACTGATTTAGTTTAGCAAATTTTCAAATTGAATTATTTACTAAATTTTTTTTTGTAAATTTTATGTAATCCAAGTCCAAATCTTGAAAGCAAAATGTCATACATACTTCCAGCCAATGCTATAAGTCTTCCAGTTGTATTAATAAATATATTCATGAAATCTTGATGTACTAGTACCTGGTACTAGAATGATAGTGATGTAATTTTATTTTAATTTTTTAGAGTTTTCTATAGATTATAAAAATTCTATAAGCATTACTCATTTTTGTAGTGAGAAAATCAAGTAAATATCATTCAAGAAAGTAAAACAGGAATTTAGGAATAAGGAGAACTAATACATCTCTTTAAACAAAACACAATCTTAGATTTTAGGACCAGGAAACAAGACCTGTACTACATTCACAGCAAATGTACCTAATTTTCTTATTAAGTGGAATTGTTTTTTTCATAGACACATACAGTTGTGAGGATTATAGGAGCAAGGAACCAGGTTGTTTGCTTCAAATAATAAGCTCCAATTATTTCGGAAATTCAGGTTTAGGAATAAAATCTGTAAAAAGATAAACTGAACACAATAAAAACTGCAAAGAATTTATTTCAGCAAACAGTGATTTGGGAATCAGGACCAAATGGAAAGTCGTTTCAAGCTCTGATGAAATGCAAGTAGAATGCTTTTTATAGAGAGTGAATATAGAAACAAGACAAAAAACACATTTGGTTGGTTACAGTTAAACAGTTACCTCATTTGTTCTGTATCTTCCATTGGAAAGTCCCTAGTTATACAACTGTTAGTTGGAGGCTTTTGATTTGTTCAGTTTAATTTTTTTTCTTCTGGAATTTATAAGAAATGGCCCAAGTTGTTTCAGGTATGTTTGCAATTCAAGCAAGGTGAAGCTTATTTTCAGAGCCTCACTATGTTCGTCTGTTCAGGGTTTTCTCAGGGCTTGCTCTTTATTTTATTATGTTTTAACAGCTTTTTTCCTAATTATATTTTAGGCCACTTTTATTAAATTGATAAGACCAGGAAATAAGGTTACTCTAAGTAGCCTAGTTGTCTAAACTGCGGGTTTTATTTGTGTGTTTCGTATTGAAATATCTGATTTCTCTACTTGGCTTTGCCTTCTGATTCCAGCTTCCTGCCAATGCGGGCCTTGGGAGGTCTTGGCGATGGCTGAAGAAGTTTGCTTTCTGCTACCACATGAAGTGCTTGGGTTTATTTCCCAGTTCTGGGCCTGGTCCAGTGCTGGCTGGTCTCATCCTAGCTGTTGCAGGCTTCTTGGGAGCTAGCAGGTATGTTCTCTCTCTCTCTTTCTGAGTCTTGTTCTCTTTTTTCTCTCTGCTTCCCAAACAAAGTAAAAAAAAACATTTGTGGAAAACTAAGTATCTAACAGTGGGGTGATAGATTCCATGAGGCATTCAAAGTTGAGTGATCTGTTTTCCTGAAAAGGCTGAAATTATTCACGGACTTTAAAAGGAGAGAAAGTCTTGGGACATACTAAGATTTATTCTCTTGAAAATCCATTTTGATTTCTGGTGAGGATGTTAAATCTAATGTGATTTCATTTTTTTCCATAGCAGCCAGGTTCCCTACCATCACTTAGCCTTGCTAGCTTATTGTTCTCTCATTTGTGGATGATATTTCCTTCCCAGTTATTATTAAATCTTATGACAGCTTATGTGTGAAAAAGTTGTCTGTTTCATCCAGGTATTGGTTCCTTCTCATCTTGATAATATGCTTTTTTATTTAGATAATAAGACATTTTAACATATGAATGTGCAGTTCTCTCAACAATCTTATTACCCACTATTTTGAAAGCTATTTCTGTCATTTATAATTGTAAATGAGTTAGTTTTTTCACATCTGAGACATTCAAATTCTATTAAGATTTTTAAACTGCCATATCAAATCCATGAAGTAGTTGGAGAAGAACCAAGTTCTTTATAACAGGCTTCCCTCACTTAAAAAAAAAATAACAGCATTTTAAATTTCTTTGCTTTATAGCTTTCTTTAGAAATGTACCATGTTAAACCACTTGTTATTGTTTGTAACATTTTGGATAGTCAGTAAACTAGTTTTCCCATTAAATGGGATATGAACTTTTCATTCATATTAAGTGATTGTTCACAGTAGTCTATCAATCTATCTAGTCACCTGCATTAGAGCATGTATTATTTATCAACTTTCAGTCTATTTATATATTTTAGAAATACGATATTTTATGCCAAATAGATTTTGCCTGATATTCTTTCTGTTTTCTCTATGATTTTTCAGTTAGATTAGAGGCAATATATTTCTGGTACCTAATTTTGATGATTTTCTGCCTCTGAATTCCGATACCCAAATAACTTAAAAGATTTATTTATTTATTTATTCATTCATTTGTCCGTTCAAATACTGTTTGTTTAGTGCTCTTAGGCACTATCAAGATTCCTTTACAGTGAGGGGTCATCCAACCCTGCCTGGGTGTGTGGCTTGGGTATGTCCCTGTGGAAGGGATCCGCCACAGAGGGAGTGGCGTCCTGATCCATGCTGACCCACTTCCCCGCTGCTGGCTTTCCTGGATCTGCATTGCACCAGTTCCTGGATTCTCCTTAGCCTCGCTTCACCTGTCTGCTCTGATACGCTGCCTCTTACTCATCCACTCTCATGTGTCCTGCTGGCCCGGTTTACCACCTGTCGCGCTTACTCGACTCTCTGGGCTGCTGTCTGCCTCCATGCATGTTCACGTTGGCAGCTGAGGCCAGACCTGCCTCTGCATCTCCAGCACTTGCTTCACGCCTTGGGATGTCTTGTTCCAGGTTGAAGCTACTTTACCCTACCTTTTTAGCCACATTAGTTTTATGAGATCTTTTTCAAAACACATTAAACCTGATCCTATCTCCTTAAAGAATAAACGTAGTATGTCTGACGGGGAAAACAAGGCTTTTTTTAAGTAAGGGCACATAGACACTGATAGTAATATTTACTTTTGTTCTACCAAGTAGCTGTTGAAATGTGGAATATCACTAAATGGTTCAGAATTTTTGGGTTTTGAAGGCATATGTGTTTTAGTAGGTACATATGTATATAACTTTCTGCATATGCACAATGTAGGGATATAAACTATCAGTTTTGTTTCATATGGATTGTATGAACTGGATAACCAAGTTTGTTGAAGTGTATGCAATGTAGTAAAAAAAAAAAGACTTGATAAACTGCTTTTTAGTATGTTGCCAAAATGTATAGAATTCCTTTCTGTCAACCTAGATGTTTAAAGACTTTTTGCATGCTGTCAAGTTCTTGGTTTCCTTAGGAATGACTGATAATCCTGAACAGATGATACATTACGATATGCCAGTTCCTCCTTGTTCTCCCTTCATTTGTCTTTGATCCAGAGGTGTTTGCTCCCACTGAAAGATATCTTTGCTTGTGTGAATTGGCAGGGACATTTGTTTTCACTCAGGGAACATTATTTTACTTCTGCAAGGACAAACTTGTGCTTGAAAGTGTTTGTTTCTCTTTTGTATAAAATGTTATGCAAAATGCTATGTGGATAAAATCATCAGAAAAGCTTAGTCTTTGCTGATAAGCTGCTGGCAACCTTAGTCAATAAGGAATGCCAATGGAGAAGATTTGCAAAAATGCCTTCAGAGAAGTATGAAGTTATTAATGATGCAGGGGAATGTAGGTGCCAAAACGCGGTATTGAGAATGTGTGGGATCTGTTTTAGTAAGCAGCAAGTATTCTAATTTACTTAGGCCAAGCAAGAAAAAGAGGCATCCGATGGAATAGGCATATGTCAAATGTGAGTTTAATTCAATAGGTAATGAAGGGCTACCAGAAGGATCAGTGAAATGATCAGAGCTGAGTCAGGGGCATCCATTTGGCTTAAAGTGCAGAGGGAAAAAAGGACTATGATTTGCTTTGGACTAGATATTAATTGGGGGAGACAGTGAACAACAGAAATCATATAGGAGTAGATACCAAAAACAAAGCCAGGCAGTATTACTTAATTAGTATGAAATATGAAGAAATGAATTTCCATAGACTGTTACAGACATGATCCTGAGGTTTCTGTTCTTGAGAATGGTGGTAGAGTTCATATGTGTGAACTATGTTGAAGTAGGTGTGATCAGAGATAGTGCTGCATGTCTGGTGATCTCTACATAAGGTGGCAGGGTATGGTGGCAAACACTCGGCTCTGAAGCCTGACTTCTTGTATTCAGGTCTAGGTTTCTGCGTTTGCTTGTTTTATAGCCTTGGGCAGGTTATTCAGCCTCTTTCTGCTTTGGTTTACCCATATGTTTAAAGCAGATAATAGCACTTATTTTCAAGAATTATTGAGAGATTAAATGAACTCAGTTTTGTAAAGTCCTTAGAAGAGTGCTTAGCATATGATAGTGACTCAATAAAAATACTTAATAATTAATATGCTTAATAATTACACCAAATAAATTATAATGGTTTACTTATACAAATTATTCATATCACATTTAATGTCTATTCTTAAAAACAAGAATACATAAAATTTCTGATTTAATATCTCATTGAGTAGGAACTAATCCTGTTACTGTTCATCATCTTTATGAATGTAGTACACTCTGTGGGAGAGTCCAGCAAGTGAATTCATTATAGCTTTGGTGGAAATTCACGTGCTTACAGAACTAAATGAATAGGACTAATGAATTTCCTGGAAAGCCCTCGGAGCAGGTGGAGTTCTATGTTTTTACGTTTAATGTTTAAAACACCAGTTGTTAGTGCTATGGAAAAGGGGTAAATAAATAACAGTTTGTTGATTTTTCTCTTCGTAGTGCACTCATGCAAGCAGACAAGCAGGACAGTTTTATTTGTGAAAATATAGATAATCCATAGACATTTTGTTCCATTTATTTAAAGTGTTGCAATTTAGATTTTAGTCATGATTTTTAAGTTATGATTTATTTGAAATACAAAATTATAAAAATACAATGGTTTTTACTCATTACTTAACTTTGGCAAATCTACCAGTGCTGCTAAATCTGTTTGAAATTTTAAAACAAAGTTGCAAGTGCGGGGATGGGTGTGGTGGTGCAGTGAATTAAGCTGCAGTTTGGGGCACCCACATCCCATATCAGAGTATCTGGGTCAAGTCCCTGCTACTCTTCGTTTTTGTGCATGTGTCGTGTCTCACACTTTTCCCCCTTTTTTTTTATCTGACAGGCAGAGTGGACAGTGAGAGAGACAGAGAGAGAAAGGTCTTCCTTTTGCCGCTGGTTCACCCTCCAATGGCCGCCGCTGCAGCCGGCGCACCGCGCTGATCCTGGCAGGAGCCAGGAGCCAGGTGCTTTTCCTGGTCTCCCATGGGGTGCAGGGCCCAAGCACCTGGGCCATCCTCCACTGCACTCCCTGGCCATAGCAGAGAGCTGGCCTGGAAGAGGGGCAACCGGGACAGAATCCGGCGCCCCAACCGGGACTAGAACCCGGTGTGCCGGCGCCGCAAGGTGGAGGATCTGCTACTCTTCTGATTCAGCTGCCTTCTAATGCAATCCTGGGGGCAGCGGGTGATGGCTCAGTGGTTGGGTCTTTGCCACCCATGTGGGAGACCCAGACGGAATGCTGGGCACCTAGCTTCAGTTGACCCAGCCCTGATTTTTGCCCACATCTGGGGAATTAACCAACTGGTGGAAGATCTCTGTCTCTTTTTGATTGATTCTCTCTCTCTCTTTCTACTGCTCTGCCTTTTAAATAAAATTTTAAAAAATTACAAATGCATTTGAAACCCTTGTGTTTCTCTCTGATTCCAAACCAATCCATTTCTCCACTTGCAGTCATCCCATAGGTGCAGAAACCACGATTCTGATGTGACACAGTGCTTACATTCCCACTCGTGACTTTGTACCATAATAAATGCATTCATTAAACTATGTATAAATGACATGAACGTCTTAAAACTTTATCACCCTCTGTTTAATAACCTTATTGAGGCCGGCGCCGCGGCTCACTAGGCTAATCCTCCGCCTAGCGGCGCCGGCACACCGAGTTCTAGACCCGGTCGGGGCGCCGGATTCTGTCCCGGTTGCCCCTCTTCCAGTCCAGCTCTCTGCTGTGGCCAGGGAGTGCAGTGGAGGATGGCCCAAGTGCTTGGGCCCTGCACCCCATGGGAGACCAAGATAAGTACCTGGCCCCTGGCTTTGGATCAGCGCGGTGCGCCGGCCGCAGCGCACCGGCCGTCGCGGCCATTGGAGGGTGAACCAACGGCAAAGGAAGACCTTTCTCTTTGTCTCTCTCTCTCACTGTCCACTCTGCCTGTCCAAAAAAATAAAAAATAAAATAAAAATAAAAAAAATAACCTTATTGAATTATACTTTATATAGAATAAAATTTATTCATCAGCCGTACAGTTCAAAACATCTTACACATAGATCTGTGTCCATTTAAGATATAGAATATTTTCATTATCATCACAAAGACCCCTTTTGACCACTGGCATCAGTTTCCCCACATACAAGCCACCTGGCCATTCATTCAATTGCTATCACTGTAGATTAGTTTGATCTATGCTAGAGCTTCATATAGATGGATCCCAACAGTATCTTTTCTATTTTGTCTGTCTACTTTCACTGAGCATGGTGTTTTGGAGAATTCACCTTATTCTTACATGTATTAAAGTTAATTCTAATTCTATTACTAAGTTGTATTATGAATCACTTCGGTATGTAACAACTTGTTTATCCACTATGGTTGATGGGCATTTGGACTCAGCTCCTTTGATTGTTGTGAATAAAGCTAACAACATTGACAGAAGTCTTTTTTTGTGAGAAAATGACTTAGAGAAGTGACGTTGGGTAGTAAGTTAATACGGTAGTATATTTAACTTTACAGTAAACTGCCAAACTGTTTTTCCAAAGTGATTGCACTATTTTGTACTTCCTGTTCCAGCTATTCCAAATTATTGCCAGGATGACTTGATATTTTTGGTAACTGTAATTGTAAGCATACTACTGGGTTGCAGCGGTATCTTGCAGTTTTTACTTGCATTTCTTTGACAGCTAATCATGTTGGGCAATTTTTTGTATTGGTGCTCAGCATCATTTGAGGTATTGGCTCTTTTTCTGCCTTCCTCTCTGTGTGTGAATTACTTTGCAAATATATTCCTGAGATACGTCTTAATGTATGCACTGTGAATATTGTCTCCCATTTTCACAGCCTGTGGATTGACTTTTCATTTTCTTAATAGTCATTTAAAGAGCAGGAAGGAGGTTGTTATACTTTTGAGGGAGTTCGGTTGATCAGTTTGTTTGTTTATATTTTATTTTGTTTATATTCTAAGAAATCTTTGCTTATCCAAAGGTGTCTAAGAGTTTCTTTTTTCCTATAAACTTCTAGATCATTTGCATCATTTCTATATAAATTATAAAACCAGCTTTTCAATCTCTAAAAAATAAACCCTAATGGAATTTTATTGATATTTTCCCTAATGCATAAAATTAACATGGAGAGTATCAGCATCTTAACCACACTGAGATTTGGAGTTCATGAATAAACGTGCATTTTCAGTATTTTTAATTCCTCTCAGCAATGTTTAGTTGTTTTTAGTGTTTAGGTCTTGCATATATTTTGTAAAGTTCTTTCAACTTTTCATATCTGTGGATGCTATTATTAATGATATTTTCATTACAATTTCAGTCCCTCATTACTAGAATATAATAAAATTGATTTTTGTAACTTAAAGGCATTTGTTATATGTAGCAGGTATGTTTTTATAGATTTCTCCAGATTTTCCTCATCCATAATTATATCTCCTATGCATATAAATGTTTTTCTTTTTTCCTTTACAAACCCTAATCTGTTTATTTCTTCTTATTGTTTTATCATAATGGCTAATAATACCAATAAAACATTGATGAATAGAAGCTATGAGAGTGCCATCTTTGTCTTTTCCTTGATCTTAGAGTAAAGGCTTTCCATAGTTCACCACTGAGTATAATATACCTGCATTGTTTTGCCATTGTTCTTATCAGTTTGAGGAAGTACTTTCAGTGCTTTGTAAAAATCATTCCATTGTCTGTTAACTTACATTGTTTCTGAATAGGTCATTGTGGTCTGATAGATCTGCAGAACATGCATATCTTTGTTTACTTTTAAATGTTGTGTTGTTGACTTGTTGTTAGGATGTGGCTCGGTGTAGTTCTGTGTGTGCATACAGAAATGATGTATTTGTACAGAAAATGCAGTATGTGTATATGTGCATCAAAGAGGGGAATGGTAATGTGTTCATGTGTTTACATTTATGTTTAGATTTCATTGAGATTCTTCAATTTGTAGATTTGTGTTTGTCAAATGATTAGGGCAATATTTGGGCATTACTTCTTCAAATATTTGCTCTCTCAACATCTATTTTATAAATCTGATTATAGTTACACTAGCAATGTTCACACAGCTCACTATGGACCTCTGCTTTTCTTTTCTCATCCTTTTTTTGTCTTTTTGCTACTTCCTATTGCCCTGTCTTTGAATTTATTGATCTTTTCTCCTGCAGTGTCTAATCTGCTCTTAATCACATACAATCAAGTACTGTCATCTGATAATAAGGTCTTTAACCATGGAAGTATCCTTTTAATTTTTTGTAGTGTCTAGTAATATTTATAGTTTTCTCTATTAGCATATTAATAGCTGTCTTAATAATTCTTATCTACTGATTCTGTTATTTATGCATCTACTAATGGATCATTTCCTGGCTATGGGTCACATTTCATTGCTTTTTCCTATCTCTAGTAATTTGTAAGTGGATGTTGAGTATCATGAATGGTACATTTGTTTCATGTATTTTCTTTGTTTCATGGTAAAAGGGTTGAGTTTTATGTTTTGTTTAAAATCTACTGTTTCTTTATGAAGCAGTCAAGTTTTAGTGTTTTTGTAAAACTTACACATTTCACCTATAAACTGAATGAAGAAAATTATGCATTTTAAAGCAGAATGAATGTATAGGTGATACCCACAGCTGTTTTTGTCTCTGGCAAACCATTCTGAGAGCTCCAGTTTCATTTGGTTCATATGAAACACATGTGGCTCATTTATTGTACATGTGCTTCAATGTATTTTGACAAATCTAATCTAAAAACATTACAGATGTTCTTTATTATTTTAATTTGCACTTGTAGCCACTGTAGAACTTGGTTATAAATTTGCTATTTCACAATATCATTAAGAGAAAATTTGGCTTCCTTAGTGTGTGATTTTGAATTCGGTTTCAGTTATAGTTTTGTCATACAGCTAGTGAGATGTGCATTACTCATCTGTTACAGATTCCCAGGATAATGAAGCAAAATCTTTCTTACACAGATATTATAGAAAATAAACTGGTCTGTGTACTGAATTTTTTTAAAAAAATCATCTAATGCAGTCCATGTTACCCATCTTTCATGAATACAAAAACTTATACTGGATAGCCATACATTTTTTAATGACTGACACAAAGGAAACTGAAGAACTTGTAACTCCAACTGGAATCTTTCAGTGTTCTTATCAAAGTTTATTATTTTCTGTAAATTTCTATAGAGTAAACAAGTTGATTGGGACAGTAGTGGACTGAGTGTATTTATACATCCTTGTAATGAAAAACAGAAAGCAAATTTCACATTTTTCAAGAGACTGCTTGGGAGACTAAAGGATTTAGTTTCTGGAATCATAAATTTCATATTAAAATTCTTTCCTATGTACAGATACCTTGGGAAATTATATGATTACATTATACTTAGATATGACTTGAGATACATAATTTATATTCTACAAGTATGAATCAATTATATCTTAATATGTAATATAAAATCAAATTCATATTGCAGTAAGGACTTTTGGGATCATACTATAAAACAATTCATTAAAATTCAATTTTATTGGCCATCACATTTTCCATATGTAAATTCCAGCAGAAAAAAGCATAAGATATAATTCTTATCATAGAAGAAATGCAGTACTTATATTACCTATTTTTATGATACTTAATTGAAATCTATGATAACATTTTCATATAATTCAAAAGAGTATATTATCACTTTCTAATTAAATGGAGGCTGAAAGATATTTTTAATAAAACTCTCTAGGTTGCTCTAATCTGGTAAATTTGTTTTCAGTTCCATCAGATACACTTCTTAATAATCACTCTTGAGAAATGCAATAAAGACTATTTAATGCAACATACTCAGAAGTCTCTGTTGGCACCACAGCAGCACATCATTATTTTACAAGCTTACAACACGCTACTTGTTTTCATTACTATTTATATATATATATATATTTGCTGAAGAAACCTTTCAAAAATTTTAATTTGATTATATGTATATATATATATGATAGGTAAATACTCTGACACATTTAAATATGTATTTGATTGCACAATAATGTCGTAGAACTTTTTGCCTGAAAAGATGCAAATGTAAGCAGGCTGGAAAGATACTCTTTAACTTCAAATGTGCAATATGGAATTTTAGTTGTTCTTTTGATTTTTTAAAACTAAAGATCACAATGCAATTTCAATAGCCCTAAGTATCCCTGAAGAGCTACTGTGTGTTGTGGAAAGGCTAAGTAATCCCTGCAGTGTCAGGGGGTTACTGTTCAGCTGTTCAGGATCAAGAGATGATATCTCAGCACTCATAAAACAGAAGATTCAAAACACAGGGGCATACATAGAAGTACAGATCATTATGACAGTCCTGGAAGTTATCCACAAGAAATGTCAACACCCTGGAGGCCAAAATAACACTACTGAATCAACATTTACTACTTGTGTTCAAAATTCAGTCTGATGTGTAGGGGAAATCATACTGAAATATTAATGCTAATAAAATTATAATTTTATATTTGGCTTATTCAAAAAATATACAGGCCTTCGAAAGCCTATGGGGCATCTTTTCTTATACATTTTTAAATGTATAATATTTATTCTGGACAAGTAACTATTCAGAATTAGCTTTTTCCTAGAAGTATTCATGAAATGGTCAATCCATGTAGTAAGGCACAGTAAGGGAAGTGAAGAGATTTCTTTAAGGTTGCATATTTCAATCCAGAAGAATGAAGGTGTAGTTTTGGCTCCTGGGATTTGAAAATGTCTTCCAGTTATAAGCTTTGGTCTAAACATTTACATGGTGGTTTCTTCCCATTCAAGCTCAACATCACCTATAACATAAATAAATATATTACCACAGAGTACTATAGTCAAAATTCCAAAGATTTAACTTTCATGGAAAAAATATAATCCTGATGGAAATATTAGCACCAGATGGAAAGGTTAGATTAGAGAGAAATGCAAAAAATAAAGATAGGTGAAGTAACCCAGCCTCTAAAACATCTTAAGCATAACAATTATTATGACATCACTGCTCCAACTATAGGATCTATCTAGTAAATTGGATTCACATTGTCTCTGTACCTTCCATGGCATCCAAAGAGTCCATCTTCTGAAGTGCTGAATAGTTAACAAAACAGATGGGCTGATTATTCCCTTTATGTGATAAGAGATCCAGAATGCACTGGTGTAGAAAGATGTACTGTGCCTAGATACCAGAGAAAGCATGGTTAAATAAATGGATAGGGTGGACGTCTTTTGATAAGAGCTAAATTTACAGGGAAGGAATGTTGAATTTAACAAATGTTAAGGAGCTAAGTTAGAGAGATAAAATTCACAAGGATTCATAAATAATTTCCTAGCATTTCAAAGATAAGGTTTTCTAAATGTGATATTTTGGTAGCTTCAAGCATTTAAAAAATGCTTCTAATTAAATACCAATATATTCTTCCTTGCTGTGATTATAAAATTGTAGCATATTAGTTTGTGAATTTCCTTTTTCCTGATAGATATAATTGAGTAATTTGTCTTATAAGTAGTTTTATTTTTAATATGATGTTGGAATGAAGATGTTTACTTGAAAATTCATAAATGAGCATGTCAATGAACCATCAGCACATTGTAACAATTCTAACAGCCTGGATGTTCAACTCACTTAATGTCAAGTATCTGCTACAAATTTGTAAATACAAGGCAGTTGGTCTTGAAATATTCTAATATCCAGATGTTGGAAAAGGGCTCCTAACATTTCATTAGTGTTTGGGTTACACTTAGTACCAGCTGGATTCTGTAAGTTTATTGGATAACCTGTTACAGTTTTAGAGTTTGGACTTTCCCTAAAGAAGTTAAGACTAAACAATGTATACAATGTATTTTAAATCACCCTTATTTGTTCCTAAGTAACATACCTGATTGAAAGGAATATCACCAAACTTTTTAGACATGTAACAAGTATACAAACTGATAATTTAACAGATTGTGTTCAAATGTGATCATGTTAAGAAGTTTTATTCCTATCTGCTACTATTATAATCAGTAGATTTTGGAATTCCTATATTGAAATTGTATATTAGGAATATTTCTTTTTTCATGAATTATAAAATGTTCCTACTAACATCTCATTCCAGGGCAAAACTGTTACATTCACTGCTACATTTCCTACTGCCTATAATAAGGCCTAGCATTTAGTAGTTGCCTCATTTAATTCTCACAGACTGCCAATCCTCACCATTTAAGGTCAGGTATAACTTGTAGAACACCCAGAAGTCATTAAAAGGTCAAGTTATGTTACGTGAAGTAGATGATCAAATTTCAGAATTTAATTTCGATAGGAAATGAAGTACTGTTACAAAGTAATGAAAACCTTAGTGAAATTGCTAATAAGTTACCTACCTCTTAAGGTAATTCCAAAAATATAATTTTAAGCACATATCATATAATAACACTTGGCATAAATGTTAAGCAATATTTTGTCATTTAAAATTGTTATTCAAGGTGTACAAGTGTCATGTGTTTCATGTATACAGATTTAGGAACATAGTGATACTTCCCACCCGACACTCCCTAATGCCCATGCTCCCACCCCCCTCCTCCTTCCCCTCCTAATCCCTCTTAATTTTTATAATGATCTAATGTCTTTTAAATCACTGAAGTGTATGGGTTTGGTATTCAAATATCTATATTTGAATTTGGAGTCATATTTGATATGTGAATCTTCTCACTGTCCTGATCTTATCTCCACTGGAAAGAATGATGGGTGGAAGCTCTCCAGCAGAGCCGGCTGGGCTCCGTGAGACAGTTCCGCAGGTTCTGCGGCGTCTCTGCCCCTGATGTTGTTGCCAAGAAGGCAGTGTCGCGTCATGGAAACTATTCGTCCCTAGTTTGTATCCCAGATAGCCATGTCACCTTAAGAAGTAAACCTTTCTGATTCTCCAGTTCCTCATTTGGAGGATCACAAAGCCTATATTGTTAGATTTTAGTGACTTAACCTGTGTACAAGGCCTGACAGATGCGACACACACACAGAATGTTATTTTCCCCCGTTTATGAGTTTGCTCTATTACATTTCTGGGAGAATCCAGAGCAGGAAAGCGACTCATCCAGATTAACCCTTATTCAAATTATCAGTAGTATCTCAGGATATTATCCAAATGTAGAGCACTCTGGGAGAAAAGCCTTTTAAATTTCTTGGGGTTACAATGAATTTTTCTTGTATTTTTATTGACATTTGATAATTATAAGTTATTGGGGTACAGAGTGATGTTTCCATATATGTATACACTGTGAAATGAACAAGTCAGGGCCATTAGCATATGCATCCCTTGCAATAATCATCATTTATTGGTGGTAAGAACATTCAAAATCTTAGTTATTTTGAAATATACTCATATAATACGTTATTGTTAGTGATAGTCACTCTACTCTACAGAACACCAGATGCTATTCCTCCCGTCTGACATTATACCAATTTTCATGCTCCCTTTCTCTCTCCCTGTCTCAGCTGCTGAATCACTCTTATACTTTATATTTCTATTAGATCAACTTTTTAATCCATATATGAGTGAGATCATATATTTGTCTTTTGGTGCATGGATTATTTCACTCAATATAATGTTCTCTGGGTTCATCTATGTAGTCACAAATTACAAAATTTTATTCTTTGTTATGACTGAATCGTATTCCACGGTATATATGCATCACTTGATCAGTTTTTCTGTTGAAGGAGACTTCAGTTGATTCTATCTCTTGCCTGTTGTGAATAGTGCTGCAATTAAAATTGGAGTGCTGGAATCTGTTTTACATACTACTTTTCTTTGTATACATACCCAGTGGTTGGAATGCTGGATCATATGGTTGTTATTTTTTTTTTTCATTTTCCTGTTAGGTTTATTTTATAGCAATATTCTATTTACAGATACTAAAAGCTGTGCCAGTTATCTGTTGGTACATAAGAAACTACTCCAAATCTTGTGGCTTAAAACAAAATAATCACATAATTTATATGTCTTTGATTCTAACATATTTCAAAGCTGAGGTTTTGGTTGAAACACTAATTCTATGTGCAAAGTTGAAATTCTGTGGGTAAAGATGAAAATTTCTTTGTGCCTTTAGCTATCACTGGACAACTCTAGTCTGATTTTCCAAAGGCAGGTAATACAGGACCAAACAATACCGTTGCAATGGAACTCAAGAGTTCTAGTCTTTTGGACAAAGTTCTCTGGACTTTCGTTTCCTCATCCAGAAGATGAAAGTCTGCACTGAATACGTCCTAATTCCTTTTCTGTACATATGTGTATAAGTTAATGAGATTCAATAATAAATGAACAGTTCTTTCAAAGTTGTACATTAGTGAATTTAGCAATACATACAATGGCCTTCCTGGCCGGGCTCCCCAGGGCAATCTCCTGCTGCTGTTCCTCCACGTGAATCCTGAGCTCAGATCTACCTGAACAGTCTAGGCTTGCTTTGTTTGTTTAAGCTGTGCCCCTGTGCCTGGGTATGCACTAGTAGTGCTTTCTGCCTAGAAGGCCCTCACTTCCCTTGCACATTTTCTTTTTCTCTTTCTCAAACTCAGACCAAAAGTTATATTCTCAAGGAATCTTCCCTGCTATCTTGAGGCACAGCACAAATAGCAATCTGGTTTGCTATTTTTAATATTTTGAGGCAATTCCACACTGTTATCCATAATGGCTGTGCTAATTTACATTTCTACCTACAATGTTTAAGTATACCGTTTGTCCACATTCTCGCCAGTACTAGTTACTTTTGGTCTTGTTGATAATAGCCATTCTAACTTGGGTGAGGTTTTAGCACACTATGGTTTTTGATATGCATTTTCCTGATGAATAGTGATGTTGAGTGTTTTGTTTTTTTTTTTCATGAACCTGTTGGCATGTCTTCTTTTGAGAAATGGATATTTAGATCTCTTACCCAGTTTTAAATGGGATTATTTGTTTTTGCTATTGAATTGTTTGAGTTCCTTGTATATTTTGGATATTAACCCCTTATCAGTTAATAGTTCACAAATATTATTTACCATACTATATATTGTCTGTTTGCTCTGTTGCTTGTTTTCTTTGTTGTGAAGAGTTTTAGTTTGATATAATACTACTTGTCTATTTTTGCTTTTGTTTCCTGTACTTTTGATGTCTTATCCAAAAAATGTTTGTACAGAGCAATGTTTAAGCATTTCCCCCATATTTTTTTTTCTGGTAATTTCATAGTTTTGGTCTTACATATAAGTCTTTGATCTATTTGAGCATGCTTTAATATATAGTGATCTACTTTGATTCTTTTACATGTGGAGAGACAATTTTCCCAGAATAATTTATTGAAAAAACTGTCCCTTCCCCAGTGTGTATTCTTGGTAACTTAGTGAGAATCAGTTGCTTGGGAGTGAATTAGTTTTCTCTGGGTCCTGTTTTCTGTTTCATTGGTCTGAGTGTGTGTTTTCATGCCAGTATCATGCTGTTTCTGTTACATACTTTGTAGTAGGATAGTGTAATTCCGCTAGCTTTGTTCTTTTTGCTCAAGATTGCTTTGACTATTTTGGGGTCTTTTCATGCAAATTTTAGCATTGTTTTTCTATTTTTACAAAGAATATCATTGGTGTTTTGACAGAGATTGCATTGAATCTGTAGGTCACTTTGGGTAGCATGCCTATTTTAATAATATTTTTTCAATCCTTGAACCCAGGATGTCTTTCCATTTACTTGTGCCATCTTCAATTTCTTCCATTTATGTTCACAGTTTTTATTTAGATAAATTTACTTTGTTAATTTTATTTGCAAGGTATTTTATTTCATTTTTCTAGTCATTGTCAATGAGATTGTTTTCTTGATTTTTGTCAGTTTTCTAGTAGTATATTGTTGATTTTGTATCCTGCTACTTCACTAATTTGAGTTCTAGCAAACTTTTTTTGAAGACTTCAGAGTTTTTTATATAAGATTATTTCATCTATAAACAATGACATTTTGAATTCTTCCAAGTTGGATGCCCTTTGTTTCTTTTCCCTTGCTTAGTTGCTCTGGCTAGGAATTCCAGTGCTTTATTGAATAGAAATGGTGGAAGTAGACATTCTTGTATGGATTCAGATATTCAAGGAAAGATTTCAACTTTACCCATTTTAGTATGATGCTGACTGGGGATTTGTCATATTTGGCCTTTATTGTATTAAGGTACGTTCCTTCTATACTTAGTTTATTGGGAGTTTTTTCATGAAGATGTGTTAATTTTACCAAATGCTTTTTCTGCTTCTATTGAAATAATCATAATTTTTGCATTTAATTATGTTAATGTTGTATATCAAATTCATTGATTTCTCTGTGTTGAGCCCTAGGATGAATTCCACTTGATCATGACAAGTGGTCTTTCTTTTTTGAAAAAAAGATTTTTGTTTATTTGAAAGGCAGAATGATGGAGGTAGAGGGACAGACAGAGACAGCTTCTATCCAGAGATTCCCTCCTCAAACGGCCCCAGTGACCAGGGCTATGCCAGACTGAATCTTGGAGCCAGGAACCTCATCCGGGTTTCCGACATGGATAGCAGGGGCCCAAGCACTTGAGCCATCTTCTGTTACCTTCCCAGACACAATAGCATCGAGTTGTGTTGGAAGTGAAGCAGCCAGGGCTCAAACTGGTGCTCCAACATGGGATGCTGGCACTGTGGCGCAGCACAAGCGAGTGGTCTTTTTAATGTGTTTTGCATAATCATTTTTTACACAGTTGGTTTATTTATTTTTGTAAAAATTTATTCATATATTTATTATTTAGAGAGAGAGAGGGAGAGAGAAAATATACATCTTTCATTGACTGGGACAGGGCAAAATCAGGAGCCTGGAATTCCATCCAGGTCTCTCATGTGGGTGTCAGGAACCATCTACTACCTTTGCAGGCATATTCTCCAGAAGCTGGATCGGAAGTAGAAGTGGAACTTGAACCTAGGCACTCTGATTTGGGATGTGGGCATCTCAAGCAGTGGCTTAACCTGCTGTGCCACAATGCCTGCCCCAGGAAGCTGTTTATTTTTTAAGTCAAAGACATCTAAAGCTCTTTCCTAGGCATGGGCCGTGTCTCTCTGTTGCCATTTAGAAGTGAAATGTCACTGAGGTTCCAGCCTTCCCACTTCTGCTAACACATGAGCAGTCTTCAACTTGGAATCACTCTCCAGTACAACACAGAAAACAAGAAACCACTGTCATTCATTGCTTTGCTGATTGTAAGGAGTGGAGCCAAGGAATGGTCATTTTCCTCAGAGGAAAAAGACAATAAAATATACAACATCTAGGAACTAAGACAGGTGAAAGACAGTGTTGAAATACTTGCTTTTCAGCAAGGAGAAAATCCAGCAAAAGCTTCTTGGACACAAACTGCATGCTGGACACTACATTGGTGTGTTAGATACTTTGTTATTTAATACTGTCAACAAACTTGGGAAAAGTTGGCAATCTTACAAAAGAGAAATAGCTCAGAGAACTTAATTTTAAAAAGTCACAGTGCCAAAACATTAGGAAAGTTGGATTCTGATCTCAGTTCTCTGATTTCAAAAACTTGGCACTTTCCATTCCCTTACCCAGCCTGTGATGTTTTGCTCTGTTTGGTTCAACAAGCAAAACACATGAAGTATTAACTTGGGTAAAATTATTGATAGCCATTCTTGAATTCCTTCTTTACAAGTTCAGGTCCATGAAGTTGTAGCATTTGGCCTTTTCTTTTGGGCATCTTTTATTATTTGTAGTTCAACTCTAGACTTTTTAGAAGGAAGCAGTATCACCCTGTCTCCTAGCCAAAAGGGCCAACGATTAATTTTGTCAAGAGTATTCACTCCTGTTATATATGTGTACATCCAGGGGCATGGGAGAGAAATGTTAGCTTTATATTCATTCTTATATTTAACTGAACATGGGAAGGACATTGAATTTTAATAATTATTGGGTGTATTGATAATGGAGCCTCACAAGACCCTTGAATAAAGACCAGTTACATAATTTGCAGGGCTCACTGAAAAATAAATTCCTTCCTCACAAATTATTAAGATTCTCAAGACAATGACAATAAGCTAGAAGAAGTTACAGGACTTTTGAGCCTAGGGACCTGTGAAACCACATGGGTTGCATAACTATGAAGTTGGCTCTGGCTCCATATAATATCCCCTTTCTGATGTGCCTTGCAGGAAGAGCTCTTTGAGCATTTAAAGGAATGGAAATAGATTGCATTACCTGCTTTCATGTAACTGATCATTACAGAATTGCACTGCCTGAAAAAGATCCCTGCATAAAGACTGCACCCTGAAGCTAATATTGATCCCGTAAGTCCGAAGGGAGGACAAGGCAGTGGCAGGCCCACCATTCTTCACAGTTCTAGAATAATCTTCATGCACCTATACTATCAGGCAAAAATAACAATGTAACCAGATCCGGCAAAACAATTATTTTAAAATATGTATTGTATTAGAGTTGAACACTCAGCATGCTCCTGAGAGGGACAGGGAGTCAAAATGTGAATGTCTGTGGCCTAGGGCACTATCTTCATAAGAGAATTGGTGTTCCATGACATGGTATTACAGCTTTGGAGTTAAAAACCAATGAGGAGACTACAGAATTTTCATTCAAGATGGAATTAAAGAAATTTATTTTCATGCAAAATTTTTGAAATCCATGCATACGAGATGTTTAAAAATTCATGGAAAAAGCATGTCATGAAAAATAAAGTGTGAATTTCAAAAATGTTTACAACAAAATAAACTTGTAACTTCATCTTTGGATGACCTGTTTGAAATAGCCTGATGAAAACTGCCACCACGATTCTGTATTTGTAACCATAGATTTACATTAGCAAAAAGGTTCTCAGAATTCATTTAAAATTTAGTTTCTTTCTCACACTTATTTTTATCAGAGAACCATGTTTTCTCTCAAACCATGGTTTTTACAACTTTGATGCCACTTGTATTTTCTAGACTGTATCCTAGAAAATGCTATTACAGCAGATCTGCAAATTTACTCCAAGAAAATTTCTGTTGGTGTAGCATACAGATCTAATCCAAAGATACAGATAGGAATATCTTGTTTGTCACAGTTGAGTTTGAATCTTGGCTCTGACACTTATTAGTAACATTACCTTGAAATATCATTTAACTTTCTGGAACATCTGCCTCCCTATTTGTAAAGCTGAAATAATCATAAATAGTTTGCAGATCAGTTTGAGTCACCCTGATTTACAAAGAAAGGATTAAATCAGGATTAAATAAAGTCATACATGTAAAACAACTAGTATAGCACTTGGAACCACTAGATACTCACAAGATGGTTTTTAGTCCCTTAAGCCATGAAATCTGTGTATTTTATAAATATCTCTCAGTTCATAATATATGACAATAATCACTATTAATACATTCAATAGGGATAAATATGGCCAAATAAAATTCATAAAACCTCATTCTAAGAAGTATTTTAAACTTTTTTCCAATTATAACTTTTAGCATGCTTAAAAAAGATACTGATTTGAATACATTTCCTCAACTCCCAAAAGTTACTGACTGATAAAGACAGCCCAATTTTATGAACTAGTTTCTACAAGCCTGGTAGAAACAAGTTAGGATGAATGGTTGTACTCAAGGATCGTTCTCCATCATCTCCATCGGCTGCTATCCCCAAGACCCCCACCCCCCCAGGAGCTTAATAACATATGAGCAGCGTGCCTGTTATGTAAATACTGTATCAAACCCACTGCCAATCCAAAGGCTACCACTGAGATCCTCCAAGTAGAAATTCTAGAGCTGACACCAAGTCAGTGCAGGTTTGGATTTCTTACCAGGTTCTGCACCATGCACATTCTTTCACTTCTCAGTTCAGCTACTAGTCCATATATATCCACAAAATCATGGTCATTTATATGTTGTGTTAAGTGGTCCAGAGCAATAAAAACTCCAGTTCTCCCAACTCCGGCACTGCAGGAAGAGTGAATTACATGAAAATTATTCAGCAAACGTTTGTTCATATGGATGGCAGAAGCAATAAGTCCTAAAGAGTTTGTTTTAAATGGAGGTAGATTTTCTTTGGTATTTCTTATTTAGAACTATTTATCTTATTTATTATTTCCAAGACTATGTTTAGACAGGGCAAGATGATTATCATTACTACTCTTTCAAATATTTAAGTTTTTCTCTTTGTTAACTTGCTGAACTTTTCCTCTCAAGTGTTATTGGAGAAGTATAGAGATAATTTTTTTAAAAAATCACTGAAAAAATTTAATACAAGAAACCTCATATTGCCCATATTTTGGTTACCAAAGGAAACATAATATATTTAAAAATCAAATATTTATCCAATATTTCCTCTGCATTATACTGAAAAGTCATCTTATGTTTCCTTTTCACTTTCTCCAGAATTTTAGGTTTACTACCTATAGAAGTTGAAATTGATAAGATACTTTAAGAAATTAGTTTAATGCCTAAGGATAGGTCTGTGTGCCATAGAAACTGCTAGTTAAGAAACCTAACAAATTTGATTCAGAAATCCCATTGGAATGATAAGATCCCTAGCTATTTAAATGGTTAATATAGGAAATATAGCTGAAAAATATTTGAAAGATCTATTTTTACATGTATTATACATTACTTTAATAGATATTATCATCTACATATATAGGTAAAAGCCTATTAAATAATAAGTAAGAGCCCATCAAATATCAGAAATTTTGTATGATCAAACCTAGAGAATTTTGACTGTTGCAATATCAAATCAACTGTGTTATCACAAATATACATGTACCCCAACAGAGTGTTAAGGCATTAAATCGCTCAACACATCTTGAGTGCCAGATATGGCTCCAGGCATCTGGGGTATAGCAAAACACAATTTATTTTCAATGAATGTCCTTTAAATTTATTTTTTTTTATTAAAAGGCAAGGAGGCTGAGCCCCATCAGCAGGTTCCCTCACCAAATGCCTGCCACAGCTGGAGTTGGGCCAGGCTAAAGCCAGGAGCTGGAAATTCAAGCTAGGTCTCCCATAGAGGAGGCAGTGACCCAACTATTTGGGCATTACTGTCTGCCTTCTATGGTGTGCATTAGCAGGAAGCTGGAATCGGCAAAGAGAGGACTTGAACCCACGCACCCCGGTGTGGGATACATGCATTCTAAGCAGCATCTTCAAGGCTAGACTAAATGCCCAGCCCATAACGTAGTATCTGAAAAGAAACCTGCATAAAGGAGAGATTCTAAGAGGGGATCATTGGAATCAAAGGTTGTAGGAAAGAGATCAGTCTAATAGGGTTAAGTTCTGTGTGTTCAAAGAACAAAACAAAGTGACAGTTCAGTGGGGAAGAGAGAGGTGGCCAGGCATCAGATGATTGGTCATGGTGCCACGTGGAATATGCTTGAGGAAGAGGAAGTAAGGGCTACTCCAGGGTTTCCGCCCAAGGTACTTCCTCTTTGCAGAGTTAGAACAACTGAGGAGCAGTGCGTTTGGAAATTGAGATTCAGTCAAAAGTGATCTGTTATGGAGCCATCAAGTTCAGAATGTTTTCATTAATCAGGTTCTCATACTGAAATGGGAAACTGAATGTAGAAGTCGAATGTAGGCTGAAGTGAGAAATTGAGGATGGAGATGGACATTTAATAGATGGTTTTAAAATGGTATTTAAGGGGCTGGTGCCGTGGCGCAGTAGGTTAATCCTCTGCCTGTGGCACCAGCATCCCATATGGATGCTGGTTCTGGTTCTGGCTGCTGCTCTTCCAATCCAGCTCTCTGCTGTGGCCTGGGAAAGCAGTAGAAGATGGCCCAAGTGCTTGGGCCCCTGCACCTGTGTGGGAGACCAGGAGGAAGCACCTGGCTTCTGGCTCCAGATTGGCACAGCTCTGGCTGTTGCAGCCAACTGGGGAGTGAACCAGCGGATGGAAGACCTCTCTCTCTTTATGTGAAATACATGAAATTTGTTCCCTTTTTATAAATCATTTTTTTAAGGTAAAGGCTGCTTCATTAGCTTGATTCATAGTACATTAAAAGTTTTTGATTCTCAATAATACCAACATAAAATTGATCATTGAAATTATTTATGTTTTTAAAAATTCATATGAGGTGAATAAGTTTCATGTATTTCATATACACAGATTTAGATTTAGGAGCACAGTGATACTCCCCCCACCCTCCCTCTGCCCTCTCTCCCTGCTCCTTCCTTCCAGTTTTTCAATGACTGACTTTCAGTTTATTTTATATCATAAGTGTAACCCTCCACTAAGTAAAGGTAATTGATTTTAGAAGCAAACTTTTATATAACATATACTAGAAAATTATAACTAGGAGATATACTCTATACTTATACTATGTATACTATAAGTATATATTATATAATATATATGAAATTAGTTGAAATATATTAGTATATAGGGGATAAAAATGGGATTTTTGATTTGTATTCCATATGCTTTATAAATATAAACATTTTCAGATATTCTACAATAAGCATTTACATATTATTTGTAACTAAATAAATTTAGTTTTTGGAAAATACAGCATCATTTAAATTAGATATTATTTCCCTGTACATAAAAGTTTAAAAATTAGATGAATTGTCTTTTCTTATGTGTTTAACCCTATTTATCAATATTTTTAAACACATAAGAAAACATCAATTAATTGCTAATAATATTCCCGTTAAAAATAGTAAAAGCTGCTGTTAACTTTAAAAAGCCTTTTTATTGTTTGAACAGATATAACAGAAAATTTTCCATTTTATCAATATTTAAATGTCCATCTGTGTGGCATCAAGGACAGTCACAATATTGTGCAACCATCACCATTATCTACTTCCAGAACTTTTTCATCATCCCAAAATGAAACTTTGTCCCTATTAAATAATAACTCCTGTTTCCCTTTTCTTAGTAACCACACTATTTTCTATCCACAAATTTTATTATTCTAGGTATCTTCTTGTAAGTGGGATTGTAATACATTATCACTGACTTTTCCTCTAATCTCCAGACTCATCGTGAAAGAGATGTAAGTTGGGACTTACTTGGATTTATCATGTTGGAAAATATAAATGATACCAATGTGTCTAGGAAAATTCACAAAGCTAAATAATATTAAATTTTACTTCTAAGAATATTGATAAAAATGAGGGAAAAAATCTCAATTTATATTCCATATTCCCTTAACCATGTTAGAAGACCTGGGTCAATTCGAATAGCTAAAGCAATCTGTACAACAAAAACAAAGCCAGAGGCATCACAATACCAGATTTCAGGACATACCACAGGGCAGTTGTTATCAAAACAGCATGGTACTGGTACAGAAACAGATGGAAAGACCAATGGAACAGAATAGAAACACCGGAAATCAATCCAAACTTCTACAGCCAACTCATATTTGATCAAGGATCCAAAACCAATCCCTGGAGTAAGGACAGTCTATTCAATAAATGGTTCTGGGAAAATTGGATTTCCACATGCAGACGCATGAAGCAAGACCCCTACCTTTCACCTTACATAAAAATTCACTCAACATGGATTAAAGACTTATATCTATGACCTGACACCATCACGTTATTAGAGAACATTAGAGAAACCCTGCAAGATATAGAGAAACCCTGCAAGATATAGGTACCGGCAAAGACTTCTTGGAGAAGACCCTGGAGGCACAGGCAGTCAAGGCCAAAATTAACATTTGGGATTGCATCAAATTGAGAAGTTTCTGTACTGCAAAAGAAACATTCAGGAAAGTGAAGAGACAACTGACAAAATGGGAAAAAATATTTGCAAACTACGCAACAGATAAAGGGTTAATAACCAGAATCTACAAAGAAATCAAGAAACTCCACAACAACAAAACAAACAACCCACTTAAGAGATGGGCCAAGGACCTCAGCAGACATTTTTCAAAAGAGGAAATCCAAATGGCCAACAGGCACATGAAAAGATGTTCAAGATCACTAGCAATCAGGCAAATGCAAATCAAAACCACAATGAGGTTTCACCTCACCCCAGTTAGAATGGCTCACATTCAGAAATCTACCAACAACAGATGCTGGAGAGGATGTGGGGAAAAAGGGACACTAACCCACTGTTGGTGGGAATGCAAACTGGTCAAGCCACTATGGAAGTCAGTCTGGAGATTCCTCAGAAACCTGAAGATAACCCTACCGTTCGACCCAGCCATCCCACTCCTTGGAATTTACCCAAAGGAAATGAAATTGGCAAACAAAAAAGCTGTCTGCACCTTAATGTTTATTGCAGCTCAATTCACAATAGCTAAGACCTGGAACCAACCCAAATGCCCAGCAACAGTAGACTGGATAAAGAAATTATGGGACATGTACTCTATAAATACTATACAGCAGTCAAAAACAATGAAATCTGGTCATTTGCAACAAAATGGAGGAATTTGGAATACATTATGCTGAGTGAATTAAGCCAGTCCCAAAGGAATAAATATCATACATTCTCCCTGATCGGCGACAACTAACCGAGCACCAAAGGGGAAACTTGTTGAAGTGAAATGGACACTATGAGAAACAATAATTTGATCAGCCCTTGTCCTGACTGTTGATGTACAATTTAATACTTTATCCCTTTTAGTATTTTTTTGTTCTTAATACTATTGGTATAACTCTGTAGTTAACACACAATTATTCTTAGGTGTTTAAATTTAACTGAAAAGTGATCCCTGTTAAATATAAGAGTGGGAATAAGAGAAGGAGGAGATGTACAATTTGGGACATGCTCAAGCTGACTTGCCCCAAATGGTGGATTTAGAAATGTGCCAGGGGATTCCAATACAATCCCATCAAGGTTGCATGTACCAATGCCATCTCACTAGTCCAAGTGATCAATTTCAGTTCACAATTGATCGTAATGATAGGACTAAGAACCAAAGGGATCACATAAACAAGACTAGTGTCTGCTAATGTTAACTGATAGAATCAAAAAGGGAGAGAACGAGCCAACATGGGAAGCGAGATACACAGCAGACCCATAGAATGGTGGATGTCCTAAACAGCACTCTGGCCTCAGAATCAGCCCTTAAGGCATTCAAATCTGGCTGAAATGCCCATGAGAGTATTTTAGGCATGGAAAGCCAAGACACTCTGGCAAAAAACAAAACAAAAAACAAATAAACAAACAAACAACCTAAATGAAAGATCTCTGCGAGTGAGATCCCAGTAGAAAGAATGGGCCATCAAAAAAGGAGGTACCTTTCTCTGAAGGGAGGAGAGAACTTCTACTTTGACTATGACCTTGTCTAAATAAGATCAGAGCTGGCAAACTATAAAGGCTTCCATAGCCTTGGCAACTCATGACAAGAGCCTAGGGAGATTACTGACGCCATAAACAAGTGTCAAATTGTTAAGTCAACAACATGAGTCACTGTGTACTTACTCCTCACGTAGGATCTCTGTGCTTAATGTGTTGTCCAATGTGAATTAATGCTATAACGAGTACTGAAACAGTATTTTACGCTTTATGTTCTGTGTTTGTGCAAACTCATGAAATCTTTACTTAATATATACTAAATTGATCTTCTGTATATAAAGAGAGTTGAAAATGAATCTTGATGTGAATGGAATGGGAGAGGGAGCGGGAGATGGGAGGGGTGCGGGTGGGAGGGAAGTTATTGGGGGGGGGGAAGCCATTGTAATCCATAAACTGTAGTTTGGAAATTTATATTTACTAAATAAAAGTTTAAAAAAAAAAGACCTGGGTCAAAAGATTTCAAGTATAGGGTTAAACTTGTGATTAGAAACTGAAGAAAAGGAGGAGGAGCGATGGCGGCAGTGAGAGCTTGAGGGAGGGTAGGCTGGGAAGTATCATTGTGCTTTTTTTTTTTTTTTTTTTTGACAGG